ACGCCTCACTTTCTTCAAAGACTACCATTGGCTCTTGATCATATGCTACCTCTTGAAACTGTTGAACATCAACCATTTCCTTTTGGTACAGTGATTTCCATCTGTACTTTTTTTTTAATGTTGTATTGTGAATTATATATGATAGTTTACATGGGAAAACATTAGTGTTACATTCATCCTGTTGTATATCATTTCATTGCCATGGTTACAATCCCCTCTATGCATCATCAGTCAACCAAAGGGTATAAACTACAAGTCTGTCTCCAGGTCATCAGCACACAGCCCCTTCTCCCTCTCTGGGTCTAAAGTCCCCAGCTGCTCCATCTCCACGTCACCGTCTCTGCCTCCATCTCAGGCATCACTGCTTCTCTGGGTAGGGTCCTGCTCTTCTCCCTTGATGGTCCTAGGGACCTCCGTTTCTAGACTCCAAAGTTTATCACTCCCCTCCTTGCTACAAAACGTCTACCTTTACATCTCCAACCCTTACAATCAGTCCTGATAACAATTATTCACTCTTGTATCACACGAGACCTAGCCGCATTTCGTCAGCCCCACCTAGACAGACTACATACTACTCAGTGGAGACTGTACCTTGCTCCACGCCCTCTGGATCTAGGTTCCCTCTTAAAAGCTTGTAAGCCAGTCACTTCTTTCATTTGTAGCACACACCCCCCCCGCCCGCCGCCGCCGCCCCTTTGGGTAGCCAATTTCCAAGTCACCCATCCCTGTCTATTCTGTATGGAGGAGGTGGGAATGATCCTTACTGTAAAGATTTGTTTCCTCTTTTGAACTACTGCATCCGTAGGTGTTGGTCAGTTCCTCAAATTGTATCAGATTACTCTTTTTTTCCTCTTCTTGTTGAACTCTGATCATCCAGTCATTGAAGCCAGGTCAAGTGTGAGTGTTCTTGTGCATATGTCCTCTCTTATTAGCTTGGACGCTTCACTCTCCACTCTAGTTCTCTGTGGCTATGTCAGACTCTAGGCCCAAGAGTCCCCAGGTCTTGCAACGCTGCTGGCCAATCAGGTCTCCACCAGGATTCACAGGAGTCTATTGAACGTTATAGGGCTTAGCTCGCAGCTTCATTGTTGTTTTTCCTCACTTCCCCTTTTAGGTGACTAACATGGTCACCAACCAGAGAGTGTATTCCCATTATATCTTAGAAGGGGTTTGCTCTGAGGGGATTCCATCTTCTCTTTGATGCTTTCTGCATCATTCAATAATTTGCCCAGAGATTCCTTCAATAACGTCAAGTTGAGGCTTGAGTTTTTTCTTCAGTTCCCATCTTAATCTCCAGTAATTACTAATCCATATTTATTGATTGAATATTTGTCAATTTCAGCCTGAAGAAGTTGATTGCTGTTGTTGGTAAGTGCGTTTGAGTTGGTTCCGACTCATAGTGACCCTGTATAGGGTTCCTGAGGAGCAGCTGTGGAGTCTGAACTGCCGACCTTATAGTCCAGTGCATTAACCCACAGCGCCACAAATCCTTTCATTTCAGCATGACTGACTGTGGCACCTTGAAGTGACGATATCATTTTCTATCCTATGTCTCCTTCATTTCCCACCAAATGATTAGACAGGATTATGTCAATAAGGTATGCAAGACTCTTAAGCCTGGAATTGGTTATTTGCCATCCCCACTAGGTTTACAAGGAGCCGCCTTAGAAGTAGGCACAGAGGATCCCAGGCCGATCAAGAATGAAGAGCGTGAGTGGGGTGTGAGGTCGGTCCCTACAAGTGGTGACAGCAGAGGCAGTGCAGGAAGTTGTAGGCATGTACGGGTCAGTGACTGAGGAAGGCTGTGTGCCTATGGGTGGCCAGGAGGCTGGCCTGCACAGTGTACTCTGGGACACTGATAGAAGGAACTTGGGAACATGTGCCGAGCACCACAAGGACAAGAGGGCAAAGAATAGGGGGTACCTGATGGGATTTTTGACGCATCCTAAGCTTTGTTTTGATCACTTTCCTAAGAAACCCACAATTGTTGAGCACTGTTATGAGTTCTGTGTGGCCACTGCACTGCATGATCGAGCCCAGAAGTGAAGCAGAGAGGGCTGTAGGAGGGAAACTTGGTGTCAGAATCAGGTACAGAAGGTTGTAGGGTGGAGGCAGAGCTGACCTCCACTTCATAGTTACCTGCCTTGAGCTGATTTTGAGCTTCTCTTTTCCACTTGTGAAGCCAGAGGACCTTAAACAGACTCCCGTACGGTTTTTGCACTGACTTCAGTGGCTGATGTGTAAATCTGAGCGACAGTATTAACTGGACTTCCTTGTAGACATACGGATCTTATCACATCACAGACAGTATTATACCTTCCTTCAAGATAGATACTGAAATGTTCTTTTTGATGCTGTATGCTATGCCATTCCTCTGGAATTTGTCATTCCAGGTATAGTAAATCATGTGATTGTGAGATTCAAAATCAGCTCACTAATGCCTAGGATAAGGAGCTCTGGTAGCGTAGTGGTTGCGAATCGGGCTGCGAACCTTAAGGTCAGCGGTTCAAAACTACCAGCCGCTCTGCGGGAGAAAGATGAGGCTTTCTGCTCCCGTAAATATTTACACCCTCGGAAACCCTGTACAGGGTCGCTATGGGTTGGAACCGACTCGACGGCACTTAACAACAACAACAACAATGCCTAGGATATCAATCTTTATGTTTTCCACTTTATTTTTGATGACTTCCAATTTTACTAATTCTTACTTAGTACATTCCAGATTCCAATTAATAGTGGATGCTTACTAGAGCTTTTTCTCACTGTTGAGTCACGCTCATTAGCAGAGACCCTCGTCTGGAGAGCTTTGCTCCATCTATACCATGAAGCCAACTCCTGCTTTGAGGAGACAGACATTAACCAGCTGCATTCTGAGTGCCTCCCAACCTAAATGCTCTGCTGCCTTTCCTAAGGTATTCAGCGGCTAACCTTTCAGAAATGGGCCCTCGTTTTGTCTTCCTAGTCAGTGAACCCTACCCACCCACTGTGGGTGACCCTGCTGGAGTTAAAATATTGAAGGCATAAGTTCCAGGCTCTTAGTAACACATAAGCCACCACTGTATGACACCCCGACAAGAGATGCAACATGGACAAAGTAGCAGTCACCAATGAAAACATACGGCCAACAAACAGGTAGGCATGCACTCTCACTAGTAACTGGAAAGCAAAACAAAAAACAGCTACAAAGACCAAGTGGCAGCGAGGGCCCTAGGAAACCAAAGACATTCATGTTACTGCTGTTGAGTGCTGTCGGCTCTGGTCTGACTCAGGAACTCTGTAGAGGATTTTTGAGGAGCAGCTGGCTGCTGCCTCTGAGCCAATGGTCTTGTAGTGCACACGAGTCTTGCAGTCCAGCGCCTTCTCCTGCAACGCCTCACTAAGGTATTAGTCGTCTTTAATATTTGCCCGAAGAGCGTCTCGTTTTACATTCTAGTGTTAGGAGTGAGCGGATGTGTTGTTTCTACAAGGGAGGCTCTAGGCTGTGTGCAGGAGTGACCAGAAAGGAGCTCTGGTAGCACAGTAGTTACGAATCGCGCTGTTAACCTCAAGGTTGGCAGTTCGAAACTACCAGCGGTTCCATGAGAGAAAGATGAGGCTTTCTGCTCCCATAAAGATTTACAGCCTCGGAAACCCTTTGCAGGGTCACTATGAGTCACAACCGACTCCATGGTACTTAACAACAATAGGCTTGAGAAGGAAAGAAAACGGGCCTAGGAAATCAGCAAGCAGGTTCCCACTAATCAAAGAACAAAGGAAGTGGAAGATGGGAGACAACACTAAGCAGAGTATGATGGACGCATGAGAAGGGAAAGGGAGGGAGAGCACACAACACAAATGTGTAAGCACAAGCACACACACACACACACACAAAGGGATTCCCAGGCAGCCCAGCAAATGCTACACCTGTGCCATAGACCCCTAGGGGGCACTCCGGGACGGCTGGGCACAAGCTAAAGGCACCAATGGGGAGCAGTGACCACCAGGTAGCGCCCACAGGGCAAGAGTAAAGAGAGTCCATCAAATCAAAGGGACCCTTATCTGCTTGCCCGGGACCTGGGGGGGGGGAGGGGCAGGGGGGGAGGGGAAAAGAGGTTCCCTCAGTCAGTGTCACCCCCACACCCTTCTACTCACCGGGTTTTGTCTCTAAGGTCTACAACTGGACACCACAGTCAGCCAGCCACCAGCTGCCACCCCCACAGCCCCCCCACGGAAAAGCAGCTCGACGAGATTTCAGCTGTCCACAGAGAAGCCACAGACCTGGCCGGCTGGTAGGCAGAGGCTGACAGGGGACCCCAAGCATTTTTATGACAAATCAGTCACAGAGAATGATAATCAGTCATGATTTACCTACAATTATCTTGTAAGTAAAACCTTAGATTCCGGGTTGTTGATTTTTTTGCACAAGCACCTTCTATCTCTTTAAACCTTTTCACTCCCACCAGATCCTCACCAACTTGTAAGTCACTCAGGAAAGGTATGAGGGCATCCCATCGGATGAGTGGAACCACACCCTATAACTAGTGTGGCACACAGCCGGTAGAGCACACAGCCTAGGGACACTGAAGTGGTCTGACCCACGGGCGTCTCCACAGTGCTCGGGAGCCATGGGGACCAGGGCTTGTTGTTATCATTAAGTGCCGTCGGGTCAGTTCTCATAGCATCCCCGTATAGGGTTTTCCAATTAAGTGATTGGTGGGTTCCCGACCTTGTGGTTAGCAGCCCATCGTGGACTGCATTGTTGTTGTTGTTGTTAAGTACCATGGAGTCGGTTCCAACTCAAATCTGTACGGGAGCAGAATGCCTCATCTTTCTCCCACGGAACAGCTGGTAGTTTCACTTGAGGTTAGCAGCCCGATTCGTAATAACTACGCTACCAGAGCTCCTTAGGGACTGCATTAGGACTTAGGAATTCTCTTCAACCCAGCCAATGAGAAATGAGCTGGCTACCTGGCCCCTGACCCAGCTAACACGTACTGACACGTCACATCCTCAGTACTCACCATAGGCTGCCCAGGGTCGGAGAACTTGACTTTAATATCCTGCAGGTGCTTCAAGATTGGCTCATCGTATTCCTAGTCACAGAAGGAGAACATTTTAACAACGGTGCACAGAGAACCCACATCTCCTCACTGAAGTACTGGTGCAGGCATGCCCAGATGCTGGACACCTGACTTCATTCAAGCAAAAACTCCCAGCACCCCACACCACATCTCATCACCAGCTAGCGCCTCAGGAAGGCAGACAGGTGACAAGTGTTACTTGTTAGATTTCTCTGACAAGGACACTGTCCCACCATGGCAGTTCCCTTCACTCACATCTGTCTTGATGCAGGGACAAGAACCCTGACTGCTTCACGACCCCTGAGTGAGGTCAGGTATCGGATAGATGGTTTGTCCCTGTCACTTCTGAAGAGACACAAACATGCATCTTGTAAATCACAAGAGACGGTTAGAGGAGCTAGGAACCCTGGCAGCCAAGAATGTCCCAACTCTCAGGACGCAAGAGGATGACCAGTCCCTTCCCAAGAACAGGGTAACGTGTGTCTGAGTGACACATGTCACAAGGGCTGTGTGCCCTCTCCATCACCATATGTCCCCTAGAGTCCCAGTGAGAAAAACCCCAAGAGGAAACACACGACTTGACTCCACACCACCATAAGCTGTCTACGCGACTTCACTTGTCTAAGGGCGCTTCGCTTTGGCTCCGTGCCTGGGCACTCACGGCAAGATTTCAAGACAAAGATTGGCTTCTGATTAACTGTCAACTTCCTGATTCTAAGTTCTTTTGAGATCATAAAACAGCCAAAAGATTCCTTTTAAGTCTCCAACTGTAGACAATTTTTTAAAAGGCGGCTCCCTGTAATAAGAAGCATCCGACGTCTAGTCCATTATCCCACCAGGACATTAGCTACGCTGGCATCCCAACACGCATCTCCCCCGAGGTGGCAGCAGCCTCCAGCCCAATCAGCGAACCAAGAGCACAACACAACGGCCAACTAACATAACAGCAGACACTCAAAGCTGAGCATGGCAAGGCCCGGCACCGCACCCGTCTGAAACTCGGACCAGGAAGCTTGCACTCTCCTAGCAGGACTGTCTTTTCAGTATGCTCAATGCAGACCCACCGGTCCTGGAGTCCATTCTGTGCTCCCCAGGCCCCCTATCACCTGCTACCTGGCTAACCAACGAGAATGTCATCCCACAAGTCCCCACCCACTAGATGAGTCCACATCCAGTGTATTTTGCAACAAGAGCAGCACAAACCCAGGTGTGGGGAGACTGGAGAGAAACGCCGCCTGTACTGCTCTTTAAGAGCGACAAACATTACTAACTGCGTCACACCACCCCATCCTGCACCGCGTTACACAACTGGCTGGGCAGCAGGTGTAGGGAAGAGAGACCACCAAGATACAGGCTGCCCAGTTAGATCACTGGTTCTTCACTTTACATATGAAACACAGAGGACATCCCAAACATGCTGTGCCAAGAGCTGGGTCCTTTGGGCATGGTGGGCAAACGGAGGCGTCTTAGAAATGCAGAGCCCCAGGCCACCCAGACCCAATATACTGCACATCTTCCAAGTGTGGGCCGTTTTGCTTTGTAAACCAGCCCACACCTCTTTCTGCAGCCCTGGCTTAGGGGACACATCATTCACTGGAGGGGCTCTAAGAACACTGATGCCTTGGTGCCCCACCCCTAAGCTCTTGCTGACTTCTGCTGCTGAGTCACAGGGAGTCTGGGTTGTATGAGAGGCCCAGTCTAGACATGATCCACTTTTCAAATCTAATTTTGACTCTCAGAGTTCTTTTCAACGTACAGCGGACTCTTCTTTAACCTCGCCATTTCGTCCAAAACAGGTGCCTGGATGCGGAGATCTGGTGCCGTGCCCAGTCACATCCTTGAGATGTGGCCCCACCCCCCACCCCCACAAGTTTTAAAGAATAAGAATTCTATGTTCGAAACAGCTGACTGAGGACAGAGAGCAAATAATGAATCAAGTAGCGGGGACGAGAGGCCACAAGCCTACCAGCCCCCTTGTTCCAGTGCGTGCCATTTCAGTGTAGAAAAGGCGAGACGAAACAGAAAGGATGGCCCCCATCTTCCATTTGTAAATAGAGATGATCTCAAGGGAAGTGACCAGGAAGCACGAGAAACCTGTTACATGTTTCTGCAATAGGCAAAGTTGCAGAGTAGGACCAGCTGGTGGTAAGAATGACCGGAAACGGGACCCAGGGACTAAGTGGGAAGAGCGCCGTTACACGGAGGGGGGGTCCCAACCAAAGCTACCAACCAAGCTGAGTACAAACTGCTAAAGGGAAAACGAAGGTGCCCTCTAAACTTTCACCTAAACCACAGTACAAATTACTAAAACAACAGAACAGTTAACTGAGAACCAAGCATCTCAATGTGTGCACGTCTACACATACAGGGGGCTTCAACAAGTTTGTGGGAAACTGCACTGAAATACAATGGAATTGCCCCAAACTTCGGAAAGCCCCCTTGCAGGCACGCACGCACACACACATACCCAGTTTCCAGGCCTTCAGAGTAAGTAACCTCTCCTGCTCTCCCCTCTCTCTACCATGTGGTCACATGCCAGAAAATGGCATAGGGAAGACCCACAAAGTGACTGAAGAGGCTTTCTGAGGGGTGGCCACAGGCCCAACAACTGCAGGAAGTGCCCACGGGCCATCCCTACGTGGTCTCAGCTCAGGAGCTGCCCTCCTATTACCTGAGGGCACAGGAAACCGTCCTCAAGGCGGAGCCTGGATTACCTGGACTAGTTCACTCAGCATATCCACGTTTCTGAAGATGGTAAACCAGAACTCAGGAATTCCTTTTGGATTTGGCTCTTCTGCTGACGCTGCCTCTTTCTCTGCTATGACGACTTTACTTTTCACATCGCCCTTAAAAGCAGAGAGAAGACAAAAAAGGTAAAACGGAGAACTCATCACAAAGAGGCAACTTTCACAGCCCTGGGGGACAGAGCGTCATTTCAGAATCCCTCACACACTGTGTTAGGAGCACAAGCATTCAAGGCACCGTCCCCAGACCCAGACCCAGACCCATGGGGGGAGGGGGCATAGGGCAGCCACTCTACCTGGGAAAGGCTGCCCAGTTCCTGGCCTTACCAGATTCCGTCTCCTACAACTGAGTCAGCCATGGGGAGATAGAATTTCTAACACATAACAATATACTACTGAGGGGAGAAAAATTCAACCAAGGATAAAGGAGTCCCCTCAAACGACGAATCTGGCCTCTAATTAAAATTTGGGTGGGATGGGGGAATGTTTGCTTTGTAGCAACAACTTCAGCCACAAAAAGCTGTCAGGCAACTTGCACACCCAAGTGTAAGGAAGTCACTTATAAACCTCTCAACAACACACACCAACAAGTAGTGAGATGAAGCCCTTCAGAGCAACAACACTGAGTCACAGCACGGTTTCCAGAAGCCCAGCTCTATACACCCGTAAAAGCGCCAAACCACAAATGGCTCCTAGGATTCAGACCCACTTCTGAGAGGTCCTGGGAGCAGCCGCTGCTGGGTTAAAAGCCACTTGTCTCCCCGCGTATAAAATCAGACTGGCAAGCAGCCTGCGCAGTCTGGCATTATCCTGGGAATTTCTGTAGCACTGGAATGGAACCCATCGGCAGGAGCAGTCTGGCAACAGGTTACGAACAGTGCAGGGTCACCACACCGAGGGCTGTGCCCAGGGCCACAGAGCACACTGCTGCTGGGTGGCGACTGTCAGCAAGACGGTATGCGAGTGCCCAACACCATCTTCTCCATGGCAAACCCACGGCCTTCCTCCCCGCCACCTGCGACTCTCTATTCCTCTTGACCGTTCCTGAGGTTGCGTCTCACCCTGACTGCGCAGCTCTGTTCTCAGCCCCCCACCGCCAGGCCCCGCACACTGAAGGAGGCGACTCACAGCCAGCTTCTCCTCATCCTCGCTCTCACTATGCCACTCAGACTCCGCATCGGTGGGCTCGGCGTCGCCAGTGACGAAGTCTCTTCTCTGCAGAAAAGGGGCCTTATCAGTGTAAATGTCCACACAGGAACCTTGAAAATGGGGCAGTCTTACATGGGTCACTTTAAACTTGTAAGTTTTGAGAGCAAAAAGCAAGCCATTACTCGAGTCACTGGGCCGGTGGCACCTAGAGTGCACGGCTGACGTCTCAGGGGGTGCGACTACCTACCTTGTCGAAGAGAGGCTGGTACAGGGCTGCATACTTTCTTTCCAAGTCGTGAACCTCCTCGTAGAACTTAGCTTCAATGTGGGCACACCTCACCTGAAGCTGCTTCAGGGCATTGATTCTTCTTTTGACAGCTTTAGGTAAACTAAGGAAGCAGACACCACACCCATGAGTATGTGTGTAACAGCGGTAGGAGGCGTGGGCATCTCAGGAACACATTTCCTAAATACCCAGAACCACAGACAAGGAAAAACGCGCCCCGAATCCCCTGTCTTTCTTGAGAGTCACCAAGAAGAACCTTGCACATGTTCTTCAGACCTAGTCACCTGACTCCCAGGAGGGCACTCAGAGGCATCACCCCAGTACATCTGTGCTAGGACGTACGCTCAGATGAAACACTTGAAACAATCGACTAACTGAACAGGATTCTAACAGGGTAAGTGCCCAGTCAGGTGTCAGACATTCAGTGCACGTGACCTGCTCTGAGCTGAGAACAAGACACCTGTGCCCACCTAAACTCACAGTGAGTTTGAGTCTTTCGTCTTTGCACTGAGCTTGAACCGCCAACCTTACACTTCAAACTGACTTTTCAGTCCAGCGCATTAACCTGCTACTTACATACTTTTGTGTATCTCTAAAATCCGTCTGTTACATTTATAAATCAGAAGCTGCACATGGGTGAGCCCAGAGTGCTGATGGACAGGCTCTGCATCTGGAGTCCAGAGCCGGACCACCAGCGGCTCACCTGTCCTCCCACAAGCCCCCAGAGCAGGGCCCCCAGCCAGGAACCACACAGGACCCTGTGCCCAAGCTCAATGACGGAGATGGCCTCTATGGTTTAGTGTTCACAACCCTGCGAGTGTTGAGCAAGGGTCTAACAACACACACACACACAAACATATGTTTGCTCTCTTTTCTGCATTAAACAATTAAAAATTTGTTTCTTAATTTTGCAAATCCTCCTAAGGTCGTCAAAATGAAAAACCACTGCCCGGAGGCCTGGTGGTGCTGAGGAAGGCTGCTCCCGGTAGGGTCCGCAGCTGGAAAGGAGCAGCCGCTCCACAGGGCAACCGTGAGCTTTCTGCTCAGGGAGACCCACAGCCTCGAAAACCCCATGCAGACAGGGTCGCCAGAAACTACAAGCGACACCACAGTCCACCACCACCACCACCAGTGAACTGGACTCCTGGGGTAGCACTGTAGGGTACTCACAAGGTCGGCAGTTCAAACCCACCAGCCGCTCCCTGCAAACCCTATTCAGGGTTGCTCTGGGTTGGAACACTTAACAATAGACAAACAGCAACTGGACTTCAGGCAGCAGCCGTTCTGTGCAGTCCCCCCACCAGGGCCTTCAGCAGTTTGTAGTCACAATTCTATTCAGGAAAACCACCTTTTCCCACTGAGTTATGTCCTCGGGGGTGGGGGTGGGGGGGAGGTCTCTGCCGCCCACCCCTTCATCATAGGCAGACACCCAAACTCCAGTCAACCCCCAACTCCTGCCCCCCCACCTACCCAACACCAGAACCCCTGTCAGTCTATCTTTAGGGAGCGCTCTAAACCTCCCCACTAGCCACCTTCAAGACGTTTCTAAATGAAGAAACGCCAAGAGTCCTCTGCCATCCTAAGTGTGGGAGGGCCATCACATGGTGACCGGCTGACAGACATGCAGGAGTGGGGCTGGTCTGCAGGCCCCAGGCTGATAGTCCAGCCGTCCGAGGAAGATGTTGATTCGGCCCAGGACAGCCATTCAGACCATTTTTTGCTGAGTAGTGTGGACTTCTTTCGAAACAAACAACCAAAAAAAAAAACCAAAGATGTTGGAGTTGTGGGCTCAGGTTGGCAACTCAGGAAGACTGGTTGTCTCGGCTCACTTGGCAGCCACAGGGAACAGACGATCTCTTTCTGGTCCCTTACTCCAGGTATGGTGCTGTGGGTTAATGCGCCAGACTGCAAAGCCGTTTGAGCTGCAAGGGGGGCCATTTAGCTTACCAGCTGCTTGTCTGACACCCTACACAGGGTGGCTATGGGTCGAAATCAACTCGATGGCAATTAACAACAACACCACTCGACTCAGACGGCCCATAAAATCTTCGCAGAGCCCATAGGACACGGGCAGTGCAGCTCACCTCTGGAAGAACGGCACTGACTCCCACCCCGCGCCCCCACTTGAGAAGAGCGCATGCTCCATATTATTCTAAGTTGTAACAATCTCGCTCACTGCTGCTTACTCACTTCTCGATGTAGCTGGATGGAGTGTGAGAGACATTTTCAAGGCGCTCCTGGAGAGCTGCCAAAACTTGAGGGTTCTGCATCACCTGGTCTGTGAGCTTTTCTAAGAAACCAAAAACAAGGGAAGAACATGTAAAGTCTGTACACCACCCGACGGCCAAGACCAAAAATCACCGGAGCCACAGCTATGGAGCTCTGCTGGTCTTTTACTTCTAAACACCGCCGCCCAGATGATGGGCACTCTACAGAACGAATGGCAGAAGGGGACGAGGGCCTGGTGTGGGCGGCTTCATAGAACGGGCTGACAAATGACAAAGTCTGGGGACGCTAAGCATGACGGCACCCACATGAGTTTCGTTGGCTGCGCTAGAGGACCTGTGGTGGCAAGGACCTATCCTCGGGCCTTGGAAATGCTCACAGTTGTTTTTAGGGAATGAATCAGGGTAGCCATAAGTGGTTTTCAAACAGTTCAGGACCCACAGACATAGAAATAGGTAGGAAGGCTGAGACTGGTTTCAGAAAGTCAAGGTATAAACCAGAGACAGACATGACTGGCCACTTGTCCATCAGTGCTGAAGCTGATCGAGGCCAGGCTCAGTGCTAACCCTGATTTCCCAAAAGTCCGAAGATGGTTTGTAAACATGAGGTGCTGGCTTTAATTTTAACGAAAGAACTATAAGGTTAGTGTTTGAAACCCACCAGCCACTAATGCAGGATCTAGAAGAAGCTTTCTGCTCCCATAAAGACCGACATTCCCAGAAACGCTAACAGGGACACTAAGACTCAGAATCGACTTGATGGCCGTGGGTCTGAGTTTTTCGGTCTCATGTTGGTTTCTGTAAAAGCCTGCCACAGTGCTTTATTTCCGCTATCCTAAGCAAGTTTCCAGAGAGGGACTGCAATGACTGGCATGAAGAACAGTGGGTAGGAACTGTCCAAGGGTGAACTCCCAACAGTCCACATCATCCCATCCTCTCCATGCAAACCCTCCCAGGTGTTAGCACCATGCTCCCAGACAGTAAACTTGCCTTTATTATTTGCATTTTTAGCAGCTTCCAAGGAATCTGAAGGAACCCCATCTGTAGAACTGAAACAGTGTTTGGAAAGTATTATTAAAAAGACCAGGCATTTTTAAAAACTGCATCTTGAATTTGTGAGGCTAGTGTCAGCTGCCGGGCTTGTGTGTAATCAGTAATCCTTTCCTGTTGTTGAAAGTAACTTCCCCACACAGTGCACACCTCCCCCACCCCCCAGCTTTCAGTGCCACCCCCTGGCCACAGCGGCTCCGCTCTCCCACAACTCCTTCCATCAGCAATCTACTCAAAGCCTAACCCAAAACTGCCTCAAGCCCTCAAAGTAAAGCAACGAACCCAAAACAAAATAACAAAACCACGATGTGGTTCGGCCAGCTGTTAAGGAACAGTGGCCATGGTGGCTTTGTTAGGAACCCATGCAGTTGGGTCTCCAAAAAAGTACATGCGTCATACAATCGGTCCATCCGTTCACAAAGATTCCAAAACACACGTCGCTCATCATCAATAAACCATAATGAACAATAAACACACCAAATGTGAACAGTAGAAACGCCTGACATCATGCCGAGCGAAGTTAGTCAATCACAAAAGGGCAATACCATATGAGACCACCGCTGTCAAGAGTTAAGAAAAAGTTTCCTTGCGAAAAGAATCATTCTGTGATGGCTGGCAGGGGTGAGAAGGCAGGGAAAATGATTCACTGGGTAAAGTAGACAGACACATGTTAACTTGGATGGGGCAGGCAATATACAAGAGGGAGGCTAGCAAAGGAAAGATGAAGGCAGTCGACAACACAGGTAGGAGAGCAAAATTCAAGTGACTACAGGTAACCACTGGGAACTTAATGGCACATGAAAGGGACTGCAATGACTGTAAGGACATCAAGTGTCTGATTGGTTGAATGTGGGACTAATGATCTCTTCGCTCAATTCACAGTAAAAAGAAAAAAAGCAACAAAACCCAACAAAGGCACAGCCTGTACTTGACCTTCAGAACAATCCAGAAACAATACACTTTGAACTAGTGTCCAGTTAGTGACATGCCACTGCCCCCTGGGAGTTACAGTCCGAGGAACAAAGGTTCACAGTGGCCTGGCAGTGTCCACACTGGAGCCACGTGGTGTGTGGTGTTACTGTAGAGAGAGCCCTCCTCCCACGGGAAGCGGCTGCTTGACAGAAACCAATCAAGGGAAGAAAAGAGCCATCCCTAGTCTTCAGTGTCCCACTCCCACTCTGAAGGCACTTCCCTGGGACAGAGCTGGGCTCTGACACAGAATTTGAATATACAAAGTCCACTTTGGCTTACCTGTTATCTGCCATCTGAATGCTTTATCCCCTCCTACAAAGGAACAAGAGTTGTCATAATTAGCACTTCTAATAGTCACACACAAGACTGTTAAAATGGACTTTTAACATAGGTACAGTGGGTTGAATGTTGGGCTGCAAACTGCAAGGTCAACAGTTCAAATCCACCACCTGCTCTGTGGGAGAACAAGGCAGCCTGCTTCAGTAAGGAACCCTAATGGGGCGGTTCTCCTCTAGTCCTAGAGGATCACTGAGAGTCCGACTGGACACGAGGGCACTGGGTTAGATGTTTTGGGGTCTGAGAGGGTGGAATTGACTAAAAGGACACAAAATGCCCCAGATCTGACATTTACTGGCTACTTGGGGTGTTTGCTCTCAGGGGACCAGGGAAGGCAGACTTTCTGGGGGGTACGAAAAGTGTGATTAGCAGATGGCGGTGATGGCTACAACACACTGAATGGTGCACTTGAAACGGCACACGGCAGATTTAGTCATACACAACGAGGCTTCCAACAGTGCCCGGAGAATTCCGGGATCTTGTCAACTGCCTCGTGCATTTTCCCACATTAAAAAAAACTCCAAATACATTTAGCCACAGCTAAACGCAAAACTGAAGAGTCAGTAAATGCAAAATAACACAGAAGTATGGTTACTGCACACACTCAGAGGTCCTTCAGCAGAGCCCAAACTCCATCCCAAAGCTTGAGAGCAAAATACAGAAGCTGAGTTTGTAATAGCATGCCAGTGAGAATTCATGATCTACAATTGTTTGAATTCAATTCCTTATTTTGTTAATTAGGTTTGTTTGCTTCAACAAAACAAAGCTTCAATTATTTTAAAGTTTTTATACTGTCTTTTGCAAAAATGGAAATGATTTAGAAAGCAGATGAAAAGCAGAATAAAGCATTATGCAACCATCACCACATAGACCCTTTAACAACACACCCCCCTACACAGGGTCCAAACTCCCGACACAGAAACACAGAACACCAACCTCAACGCATCCCGCCCCTCCAACCTCGGCACTCACCTGTGCTCCCCTCCTCCCCAGGTCTGCTCCACACACACAGCGGCCCCCACAAGTCACAGGCAATGCCTGGCTATGCCGCATACCACCCATGTCACAGACACAAGCGCGCTTCCAGTTTTAATGAAGAATACACTTCTCACTCCCACTGCCCGGTGGATGCCGCCTCACGGGACCCTACCTAGTAGGGTTTCCCAGACGCTCACTCTGTTCTTGGTGTTGAAACTTCTAGTGAATTGTGTGGAGGTTTACAGCGCATAGTCAACAAATCACACTTTGCTTCATCTCAACTTCAATCTCTCCCATGGAACAATTATCTCACTTCTTCCGTGTGCTTCCCAGCTCCCTTACTATGGTGAGCGTACCTCACTAGTGTAGTCCCTGCTACACACCAATCCACAGTTTGCCTGAAACCTGGGCCATGAGGGTGAGTTCTGTTCCAGACCTAAAGGGGGGTCAAGAGTCATAGTTTCGGTCCACAAGAGATGGGCACTATTTACTGAAGTGGCCGCTGGGTTTGAACCGTCAACCTTGTGATTAGCAGCCTAGTACTGATCTTACAGCACCACAATGTCTCTCTCTTGTCTGTTCTTCTAATGACACTTCTACAGACACACCTTCAAATGGCTACAGAGGACGTCCAGGACAAAGCGCAGGACTGGGCCCATCATCTCAAACTTGGCTGCACACTGACAGCTAGCCCAGCCACAAGCACACATCAAGGAATGTCTTCCTTAACCACACACACATCACATCAAGTGTTGAGCTGGACCCACACCTCAGCCATGAACAGACGACAACCATCATTACTTTAGGAAGCCACGCTTCACTTCACTCCGTGTCCTGCACCCCACCCCCCACCCGCCCAGGGACGACGTGCCTGCCAGGCACCCTCCATTTCACACACCAACTCCACCAGAGAGGGTCTGTCTCAGTTTATAGGAAAAGTAGTAGAAATGCAGAAAAGTGAACTGTCTAAATCCACGTTCACACAGCTGGTGAGCAGTGGGCTTCAAATCAGAGCCCTTCTGAGCTTCCCAGACTGCCTATCAGTCCTGTGTTCCTGCGGCTCTTGCTCATTCAGTTAGAGGCAAGCATCCGCGCCCAAGTTCCTGGTATGGCGCTGCAGGAAACACACTGCACTGCAAGGTTGGTTTGAATTCTAAGGTGAAGAAGCGGGACTGTATGAAGAATGTGACATCAGGATTGAAGGAAAATTCATTAACCTGCAATATGCAGATGACACAACTTTGCTTGTCGAAAGTGAAGGTGACTTAATGGGCGTTTACTGATGGGCGTCTTCAGTATGGTTTGCACCTCAAAGTAAAGAAAACAAAATTCCTCACCACTGGATCAATAAATAACATCAAGATAAACTGAGACAAGACTGAAGGTGTCAACACTTCATTTTGCTCAGAGCTCGATCAACACTCACCGAAGCAGCATTGGGCAAACCTGCTACACATGACCTCTTTAAAGTGTTGGAGGGCAAAGAAATCAGTTTGAGGGCTAAAGTACACTTGACCCAACCCACTGTATTTTCAATGGCTTCATACATAGGCCTGTGAAAGTTGGGCAGTGAATAGGAAAGACCAGAGAAGATGGATGCGTGGGAGCACGCTGAAAGCAGAAGAACCAACCAGTCTGCCTACGAAGTAGTGCAGCCTGAGTGTTCCTTACACCCAAGGACATGTTATCACGAGAGGCCTGGAACCGCTGAGAAAAGCAGAGACAGCAAAAACAAGGAAAACTCCCCAAAAAAGATACAGGGGCAACAACAATGGGCTCAAAGCCAATTGTGAGGATGAAGCAGGACTGTGCAATGTTCACACTATTATTGTGCACGGGGTAGCCCTGAGGGACCTGACAACAGTAATCTGATGTTGTGGATTGCTGGAGTTGCGAGGGATCCTGAAAGCTGTAGTCTTTCATTTTCATCAGCGAGTATTCCAAGTCTTCTTGCTTTCAGCAGGCAAGGTTGCGTCATCTGCTATCACAAGGTGTGAAGGAGTCTTCTTTCCATCCTGATGCTGCATTCGTCCCCCGTCCTCATCGAGTGCAGTTTCTTGGGTTACTTTACTCAGTATAACAGACTAAGTACGGTGACAGGATACAACCTTGACACATCATTCCTGATTCTAAACCACAGCATCCTCTTGCTCAGTTTGAACAAATGACTGCATTTTGGCCTCTATACAAGGTTTCACATGAGAACAATTAAGTGTTCTGGAATTCCCATTCTTTGTAATGTTACCCCCATAATTTGTTGTGATTCACACAGCTGAATGCCCTTGTGAGTCAATAATGTACAAGTAAACATATTTCGAGTATGCTCTGCTTTCAGCCAAGGTCCATCTGGCATCAGCAATATACCTAGTTCCACATCATGCCCTGAGTCTGGCTTGAATTTCTGTGAGCTCCCAGCCAATGTATGGTTGCAGCTGTTTTTAAATTCTCGTCAGTAAAGTTTTACTGGCCTGGGATGGTGATGATGTTGTTTAATCCTCTGCAGCCTGCTGGGTCACCTTTCTTTGAAAGGGACAGACACAGAGCTCTTCCAGTTGGTTGACCAAATTTCCTGATACAAGACTAGTGAGTGCTTCCAGCATTGCATCAGCTTGCTGACACAATCCAGCAGGTATTCCACTGATTCCTGGAGTCTGGGTTTTCACCAATGCCTTCAGTGCAGTTTGTATTTCTTTCCTCATTACCACTGGCTCTTGATTGCTTAAGTTACCTCCTGAAATGGTCAAATGTCAACCAATTCTTATGGGTACAGTGTTTCTCTTGTGCATTCCTCTTGTGCATTCCTTCCATCTTCTTTTTTTTTCTCAAATGTTTTATTGTGAATTATGTGATAGTTTACATGGGAAAACATCAGTTTTACATTCATTCTATCGTATATCGTCTCACTGCCATGGTTACAATCCCCTTCATGCAATCCTTCCCCTTAACCCCCAGGTCTTCAGCACACAGTCGCTCTCCCTCTCTGGATCTAAAGTCTCCAGCTGCTCCATCGCTCCACGTCATCATCTCTGGCTCTATTTCAGACATCACTGCTTCTCTGGGTAGGGTCCCGCTCTCTGCTCTTCTCCCTTGATGGGCCTAGGGACC